CCCGGAAGTCAAAAAGTGGCTTGAGGGGAGGAATAAGGAGATCAACTTGCGTAGAGCGGCGGCCGTAACAACAAACGCGGTATGGATGGCGGTCGGCGAGTGACGAGGACATGTATTGGGGGTAGGGTAACAGGCCTGACCTAAAGACCCTATCCATGGACACCGTATACTTTGTACTGGACCCCTGGGCCAGATCGCCGTCCAGATGTACCGCAACATGAAAGTCACTCGGACGGCGACAACCACTCGGAGCACGGCACTTCACTCGACGAGCTCATTCCACTCGACCGTATAACTCACTCGGATATGCAAAGACCAATAGTCAGCATGACGGTTTTGTAGTGGGCAGGCATTATGGCATTGATGCTCCACCGTGTAACATAAGGGGTGAGGGGGTGGCGCACTCTATATAAGCCACCCCCACCACTAGACTAAGGAGCTTTTTTCTTTCACCTCTCTCTTTTTTCACCATTAGTCTCAGGACTTAGCTCGGGCATGGGATCTGTTTCCTTCTCTCACACATTGTAATCTCCGGATACATACTCAGATAATACAAAGCCTCTCCGGAGCACGAGACGTAGGGCTGTTATCTCCACCGTGAGAGGCCCGAACTCGCTAAAACCACCGTGTTACCCATATGCATCTCGATAGATCATGCTCCGTTACCCTATACCTTATTATTGTCGGAATCGTTCCCACGGCAGCGAGTGATTCGATCATGTTGGCCAGTCATGACCCGCATGTTGAATTTCATTATGCCATGTTCGAATTGTTGAATTGCGGTTTATTTTGCTTCGTTGCGTTATTGAATTGTGACAAAGTTATGCTATATGATCAACGTTCAAGGATCTAAGGGTTCTGATATGAAGAGTTTTATTGTCCAACATGGCTTTCGAGATGCCGTCCGACGCTCTCCAGGGCAGCGCCCGGGCGCGTCGGCAGTCGCAGTCGTTTAAGGAGCCGTATTTGTGTCTGACTGTAGATGCCGTAAGTAGTCAATGGACTCAACTGACCAGGCTAATCTGGCCAATCGGAAAATGACTAAAATAATTGCAAGATCAACACCAAGTTGAAGCAAGATGACAGTACATACACAAAACGTTCTCCGGGAACAACGGTACATCAATCAAATGTATTACACCACTACTAACCGGAACCCAAGAATAGTTGCAATTTAATACGGTCCCCGGTTTGGTTTGGTTTGGTTTGGTTTGCTGCCGGGTGCCGGCCGTGCCAACAAGGTCCACGCTCTACCAACTCAGGTATTCATACACCTTGTGTTTTACCGGGACCAATCTATGAACACAGCCATGTTTTCATGGAGTCGTCCCACACGCGGCGTGTCGCGCACGCCGCGGACGGTACAAGCCTCAACGCAAACTCTCTTCTCAGCATTGATATGCTCACAAATTTCCGGACATGTTGATAGAAAATCGTACTACCTACTACGTAAAAACTCAGACGTCCGACATACGCTCGTACTAGATCTCCCTCAATACTGTGGACCACAGATACACCTCGCACACACCAAATGCACGCACTGTATCTCGACCAAGATGCACCAAACCCCAAGCAGACCAAAAGATTCAGGTACGTTTTCACCAAAATTCGCTGGCTGTTTTCGGAGAACGACATGCCTTTTTGTTCTCGCCTGTGCCTAGTTCGCTCGCAGTGCGTATTTCCGTTCACAAAACGGAAAAGGGAAAAGGAAGAAGAGAGCAAGTAGGGCACTTGGTCGGAACACAACGGCCGACGTGACTGACACTTGATCCGGCCACAAACCTGGCCACACGGCGACTCGGCACACCCGATCGGGACAGGCCGCGCCCCCCTCCCTCCATGTGAGGCTCTGAAACTGGGAGCGCCTTTCCCCCCTTTCTTTTTCGTACGCGCCGGTGGGCCCCACGCTCCAATCTACTCCCCACGTACCGTAAACAAAGCAATTTTTACGTGAACGCTCACGCGTACGTACCCTGCGCGCGTGCGTGTGTGTCTGAGAGCGTGACGCGAATCATAGACTAATCGAAAGCAAAGATCCATCCAGTTCAAAAACACCACAATTTGAACCGCGGTAGCTAGAGGACAGGCGGCCGTGGCCCGTCCGGCTCGCTGTCAGGCATGGCCATGCACAGAGCGGATTCAATACGGCGTGTCACATGCGCTGTGGCCACAGAGCGGCAGGGGGCGCGCTGTCTGTCGACGGGCCGCCGTGCGTTTGACGAATGACCAGTGTACGTAACAGGGTACGTGTGGTTGCGCGGTAGCGCTTGTGCCCCGTTCCGTCCAGACAGGCGACATGACGTGGTCACGCGACGTCGTATCCATTTCCCGTTCCCCCGCTGTGGCGCAACCATACGGTATCTACTACTTGCTCGTAAGACATTTCCGCCGGGTTCAATCATTGCTACTTCGTGTGCGTGTGTGCGTTTATAGAGATTGTATGTGCGTGTATATGAGCGCTTGTGTCTGTACTGATGCTCAAAAAAAATCGTTAGCTACTTTCATACGGTATGAGCCGGAAGTGAAGAGGTGAAAGGTGAAAGAGACAGAGACGGCGAGGCGGCCCTCCAAACTCTTATAAAACGGGTGGTAGAAAACGGAAAGGAGCCGAGCAACGGAGTGTAGCTCGCGCATCCCAGGCAGCAGAAAACGATGGAGCCTCCATGTGCGCGCGCACGGGATGCCACTCCTCGCCGCGCCGTGCCGTGCCGTGCCTGCGCGCGTGCACGCGAAAGGCGGTGAAAAGAGAGGAGGCGGGGGCCGGGCAGCGGGAAAAGCCGGGCCAAAAGCCCCCGTGCATTCCCCCAGGCCCAGGGTCGTCGCTTCTTTTCGCGCCATGTTCACCCCTCATCCGTGGGCATCAGCGCCAATCACACTTGGCTTTCGTCTTTCCCCTGCCCCGCGACCAAGTTCGCAGCCTCTCGCTGCTGTTTCCCACGACGCGAGGCCGTGAACTCCAGCCGCTCCCGGCTCTCGCCGCGCACTGGCCGCGCCAGCGGATGATGATCGATCTGCCGCGCGACCGGCCGGGAGACCGACCCGCACGGTCGCAAGGTAATCCGATCTGGTACACGTAACGGGGGCTGACGCGGCAGCAGCAGGGGGGACAGACAGCGCCCGTCGCGCGCCCAACAACAAGCGAACAGAACGGGCGGGCCCCGACTGAGAGTGACGTGGAAATTGCGGTTTATCCCGATCGTTTTTTATGCACGCTCCATTATTCGATAGCTTGTGCATGATGGGAGAGTATTTTACACTCGAAATTTTGGGTTTGATCCGTGGCCAGTGGAGGCCGAGGGAGGAAGGAAAGCGACGGCGACAAGGACGTACGTACGCGAGCAACGGAGGATGACGGGGCTCGCGCTCGCCCGACCCCGATACGCACTCCCCGCTCCGCGCGGCTCGTCCCGAAAAAAGCTACTCGTCCGTTTGCAGAAGCAAAAAAATCGGCGTCAATTAGGGCCACTAAGGCTGGTCATAGTGGAGAGTAACTTAGACTAGTAACATACTTTTATAGTGGGTAGTGTCATAGGTGCGATAACATAGTTGTCTTCATTTATTACTTTATAGACTCATTATGCATTGGAAACCGCTATGTGTGATGGTAACATATTATGTTACTCTATTTGCCTCTCTCCTCATTAACTAGTTGCCACATCACCAATTTTACTTATGTGGCATCTATGTTATTACCTATGTTACTCCCATTATGACCAGCCTAATAAGATCAGTGCTACTAACCAGAGAACAATAATCATCTGGGTTCAAAAGAGAGAAGAGTAATCGGGTTTGCACAGCAGTGGGGCAAGCGACAAGGATCTGGGAGTAAACAAAACCTTGTGAAGCGACGGAAAGGCGAACGAGGGAGGCTAGTCCAGCTTTAGCTCGGCTACGGGTATCAAATCAAACGGAGGAAAGGAGTATAAAAATGGCGGGCCGGGCCGGGCGCCATTCTTATCGCGAAAGGCCGCCGCAGCGGCAGCGGCAGGGAGCAGCGGCGACGCGGCAAAGGACAAAGCGGGGCGGGACGGCGACCGGAGTGGGCGCCGCCGCGTGGGCCGCTGGGCCCCGGTCCGGTCAGCACCCCAGATCGCGGCCGTTCCAGTCAATCACGCACGCACAGATCCACCCCGGCCGCCCGCGCACGCAGCGGTAACAACAGTAAAAACTCAAAATCACAGCGCAGTAGCACCGCTTTTTACCGCCTGATTGATTGACTGGATGACGGTGCCACTATTGGTAATTTGGCATTCCTATCCGCCCGCTGCCCCCAGAGAGCACAGGAGGAATGCAGAGAAAAGAAAAGACGGTGACAGAGGCGGTGGATCGAGTTTTTATAGACAGTTTTGTCAGAACTCATCTAGATAAGATATAATTTGATATCATTCATCTTTTATAGCCATTAAATGTGATGCTATAAGATGTGTGTGCTGACGTGAATGGTATATGTTTTTGTTTTTCAAATAATTGAGACCAAGTTATATCTCATCTAGATGAATTTTAGGTACTCCCTTTTATAAATGGGGCCACCGAGATCCAGATCTATCTATCTATCCCGCCTCCCTCGAGCGGGGAAAAAAACACCGCAGCGGCAGATAAAAACACCGCAGGACAGGCGCGTTTTGCAGGGACCCCCTCGCGAGGTTTTGCCAATCGCCGGCGGCACCCTCGTCCTCTCCTCCCAGGAAAAGGGACGGCGGCCAGCTTATACATAGGTGCTGCCGGTGCTGCCGGTGCAAGTAGCATAGCTCGAGGGGGACGGAAGGGAAGGGAAGGGAAGGGAAGGTGCTGCCGGTGCAAGTAGCATAGCTCGCTAGCTAACCCTTGCCACCACCGAGCTCCGGGGATTCATGGAGTCGCTGGTCTCCGGCTCCAGCTCGCTCTCTAGCTAGTTGTTGTGCTGTGCGAGGACGGGAGGAGGGCGGGAGGAGGAAGAAGGGGTGTGAGGTTGTCTGCTGGGTTTGGTTGAGTTGAGCGAGCGAGCTTGGTCGATCGGCGGCATGGACGCGTACGAGGCGACGAAGGTGGTGTTCGCGCGGATCCAGGGGCTGGACCCGGACCACGCGGCCAAGATCATGGGGCTGCTGCTCATCCAGGACCACGGCGAGAAGGAGATGATACGCCTCGCCTTCGGCCCGGAGGCGCTGCTGCTCGCCGTCATGGCCAAGGCGCGCAAGGACCTCGGCCTGCTCCCGGCCTCGGCCTCGGGCCCCGCCACGCCCACCTCCGCCGGCCACTCCTCGCCCTTCATGCTCTCGCGCCAGAACTCGGGGCGTGGCGGCTGCGGCGGGGGCACGGCGCCCTCGCCGCTCTCGGTCTCCTCGCCCTCGTCCTGGGCCCCGCCGCCGGTGTTCTCCAGGAGCAACAGCGTCAGCAATGGCAGCGCCGCGGAGGAGATGGCGGGCGTCGGGGAGGAGCAGCTGATGAGCCCGGCCAACGGCGGGGGCGGGGGCCCGCAGTCGCCCTTCTTCGGCGGGGAGTCGCTGATCCTCGACGAGCTCCACCTGCAGGACCAGCTCGCGTTCCTCAGCGAGGGAGGCATGGGCGGCGGGGGAGGGCGTCAGCAGCTCCCGCTCTTCGACAACGGCGAGTGCCGCAGCCCCAGCGGCGGCGGCGGCGGCGGGCTCTTCCCGTACGGCGCCGCGTGGGCCAACGGCGGGTCCGGGCACCGCAGGAGCGCGTCGGTGAGCGAGCTCTGCTTCGGGGGCGGCGACGGCCTCGGCTGGAAGCCCTGCCTCTACTACGCGCGCGGGTACTGCAAAAACGGGAGCGCCTGCCGGTTCGTGCACGGCGGCCTCCCCGACGACCTCGCCGGCGCCAAGATGGACCAGGCCTCCGTGGAGCAGCAGTGCCAGGACTTCCTCCTCCGCTCCAAGTCCCAGCGCCTGGCCGCCGCCGCCGGCTTCGCCTACTCCCCCACCGGCTCCCTCCCTGGCTCCCCCTCCGCGGCGAGCAAGTGCCTCAGCTTGCTCCTGCAGCAGCAGCAGCAGCAAAACGACGGCCAAAGGTACTAAATACCCACCACCCTCGCCACCGACGAGCTCCTCGCTCTCGTTTCTACCAGCGGGCGGCTCACTGATTGCTCTCCGATTCGCAGGGCGGCGGCCGCGGCGGCCGCGGCGGCGCTGATGCTGGGCGGCGACGAGGCGCACAAGTTCATGAACCGCCCCCGCCTCGACCGCGGCGACTTCGCGAGCATGATGAACCCGGGGTCCCGGCAGATTTACCTCACCTTCCCGGCGGACAGCACCTTCCGCGAGGAGGACGTCTCCAACTACTTCAGGTACTTCACCGTGCTCGCTCGCTCGCACCCACAGCTCTAGCTCCGGCTGGAGGTCTCGCCGGAATTAACCGTGCTCTTCCCCTGAACCGCAGCATCTACGGCCCAGTCCACGACGTGCGCATCCCCTACCAGCAGAAGCGCATGTTCGGGTTCGTCACCTTCGTCTACCCGGAGACGGTGAAGCTGATCCTGGCCAAGGGCAACCCGCACTTCATCTGCGACGCGCGCGTGCTCGTCAAGCCCTACAAGGAGAAGGGCAAGGTTCCCGACAAGTTCAGGCAAGCCCACGGCGACCTTTGCCGCTTGCTTCCGGCCGCAGTAACCAACAGCGACATCCCCATGACCATTTATTCCCGCTGTTGCTCTGCAGGAAGCAGCAGGGCGAGAGGGTGGACTTCTCCGGCTGCGGGTCTCCCACCGGGCTGGACGCCAGAGACCCCTTCGATCTGCACCAGATTGTTGGTTCGTCATTGTTGCAACTTTCATGTTTGTTGATTGTTCATGTTCATATGCATGATGAGTGAGCGTGTGCTGAGCTGAGATTCTTGTGTTGGATCGGGCTCCAGGTGCGAGGATGCTGCAGCACTCCAACAGCGCCAACGAGATGCTGCTGAGGAGGAAGCTGGAGGAGCAGCAGCAGGCGGTGGAGCTGCAGCAGGCGATCGAGCTCCAGAGCAGGCGCCTCATGGGGCTGCAGCTGCTGGACCTCAAGACCCGCTCCGCCGCCGCCGCCGCGCCGACCCCCATCGGGAAGCCGTTCAGCCCCACCCACACTTCTGCCGCCACGCCGACCCTCGATTCGCCGCCCGATTCCGGTATTACTTGTGTGTGGCCAACAGAGAAGAGCTTATTATTATTACCTGGCCACAACAGATGCAGTGTTGCTCACATTTGCCGTGCTGATCTTGTGTCAACAGGGGAGCAAGGCAATGGCTGCGGCTTCCTTTTCCCTCACAAGAATGCGGTCAACGGAGCTGATAAGGATGAAACCTCAGGCGATTCCACCACCAGCCCTAACACTGACAGCGACCAAAGGTGGAATTTAACGCTAAACAAATCACCATCATCATCACCATTTGTTCCTTTCATCACACTTAGCTTTCGTCCAGCAGTGCAGGGAAGTAAGCATTTCACCAAACTGATCTTTTAGCCCCTTATGTTGTGCTAATCTGCAGCGCGGAGCATAACCTGCCGGACAGCCCGTTCGCGTCGCCGACCAAGTCGGGGGCCTTCGCCCGTGATCCTTTCGCGCCCACCGAGTCGGAGATCGCCGCCGCCGCAGCCTCGACCGGTTGCAACGCGGCCTACAACGGCGGTATCAACGGCAATGGTGCCAGGAACGGCGGCGGCATTAACCACCATCTCCTACCTCCAGCATTGGACATACCCTCACCAAAACCTTACTTCTTCCCCATGTCCAGGTGCTGGTGCTTGACACCATCTCTATCAATGTCCCATGCATAGTTCCATTCACTATTGCAAATTTGCATGATTGGTGTGCTGAAGGTATCATGGATGGATGCAGGCTGTCCTCCGATCACGGCGCGGTCGGGATGTAAAGTAGCGCTGAATGGAAGTGAGTGATACTACTGCCTAATCATAGTAAGCACCCCCATCTCTCTTTTTACCAGCCCATCAACACCTCGCTCCCCAGTAAAATCATGCAATGCCTTTTTCACTTACCGGAATGATGGTGTCTTAACCTTGGATCCTTCTCTATGTCGTGCAGGAATACTAGCAGCAAAGAAAAAGGAATAGTGCAACATAGGAAAAAAAGAGTGAAGAAGTTGCAGCATAGTTTTAGTTTCAGCAGCCCCCCCTTTTTTACCTTCTTTCCCTTCACCTCTCCTCAAGCTGATGGCACCGCACCAGCTGATTCAGACCACAAGAGGCGAAGGACAAAAAATACTACCACTACTAGCAACCCCAAGGCTTCAAAAACAGTGTCAGATACTTAGGGCCCCTCCTATTATTACCATTACCATATGCATTAGTTACTGTTAGTCGATTACTCCTGCTGCTACTACTAGTAGTACCACCACCAACAACCACCAATACTACCACCGCCACCAACCCCCCATTGATGTGCCACCAAGCTCCTGGCAAGGCCACCGCCAATATAATAGCCACTACTAGTAGTAGTAGTTCTCATGTAATAGTAGCACATTAGGTGCGATGTTTAGCCAAAAAGTACAGAGGAATACTACCACAATGTATGACATACACTAGTGCTCTGCTCGCTGTGTTGCAAGACAGTGCAACAAGATACGGATGCATAGCTAGCTAGTTGTGTTGGTGTTTACGTATGTATAATTTCACTTCACTGGATGAATGAAGATAATGAACAGGTCCGTCAGGTCTCGGTGCTGTGGGCGTGTGTCGTGTCAGGGTGAGGGTTGGACCGCTCGGTGCTGCAGCGGCGGTAGGGCGAGGTGTCAGCGCCGGCCGTGGATCATGGTCCCTTCTTGCTCGGCACTGAAGCTGTGTTTTTTCCTCTTGATTTTTGACTTTCTCCTTCTCCTTTGTCCTGCTGAATCTACAATGCTAGTTCGGTCTGTGCCGTTGCTTTCCGCAATTGTAGCAACGCATTGCCGGGCGGGGACGGCGACGGGATGGAACGGCGGGGACATGCTTTTCTCGCGACGCGTAAAAAAAACGACGGGTGCCCACGCCGTCCGCGTCCGGAGATCGGGTGAAACGGATGCGAATGCGACGTCGGGATTATTATCATCGCCCAGAACAGAAAAACCGGGCGATTGAAAAGAAAAGGTGATGCCGGTAGCCACGATTATTCCCCTCCTTGGAGATGAGATTAGATCAGATTAGACCGCTGGTGGCGATTACGTACGGTTGGTAATCATGTCAGCAGCCAAAACGAATTCGATCAGTGGAGAGACGGAGGAGGAGGAGGAGGAGGACGTTTGGGGACGGGATGGTGCGATCCCGGCGGCGTCGCTCTCCGGAGGCGGAAAGGCGCCGCGCCGGGGTCGGATTGGAGGCTGGGAGCGGCTCCAGATGTCTGGGCGCCGGATACTTTATCTTTTCTAATGACGGGTGATTAGGGCAAGTGCTTGCCGTTTTCAGGTGCTTTGGCCCCGGGATTAAAGCTCCTAATCACCCGGGACAGTTGCCGTTATGATGACGCCTCCTGTGGGCTATGGCTATGCCCATGCATTTTTGCTTTTTTCCAGGTCTATTATGGCTATGAATGTCTTCAAGCAAAAATGCCGCGGGGCTTCTAAAAACAGTCTTGCAAAGTCTCCGTGTCCTGGGAATTTTGTAGGTCCCAGTTGATGCTATATCCATGAGATTTATGTTGAGGTCCGTACAAAAATTCTTTTCAGTTTTTTTGTTTATTTTTCTCTTGCATGTTATGTCACTCGATTCGGATTTAGTTAAATCTTCGTCGACTGATACCTAACCACACCATTCTAAAATATAATGGAACAACTTTTTCTTATAAGGAACACAAACCTATTTACATTATAAAGTTCATCAAAAATATGAATCATCTTGAACAAGATAAAAAATACGACAAGCTTCCTAGATCACCAAACAATCTTCGATTAAAAGAAAAAGAGCTATCAATCTTCCTATTATGTGTAGGACCGTGTCTGCGTTTATACAGTGTTTGTTAGAAAAAAAACAGGGAGGGACCTGTGACGCAGAGTCGGACAGGGCGGGTACTAGATCGGCGCACACAAATTTTACAACGGTACACGCGTGCACGGTGGATCCCCGAGCCGAAAGTTCAGACGGTGGTGGGCCCGGCAGTGTCAGACCCTGCGCGCACGCCCCACGTGTCCGTGCGCCCCCGCCCTGCTTTTTACCGAACCAGATCGAAATATCCAACCGCTAGCTGCTGCTGCTGCGTGTGAACTTTCGAGTCTTGTGTAACTTTTTTTTACTGCATTTGAATTCTGCATGCTACTGTAGGGGCCACGGTAACAAAAAAATGTCTCCCTCTTGGTCGTGTCCTCTTGTTCGTAATCGCTCGCACGTGAACCAGCTCGTGGTTCTCTCCCTCTCTCTCTTTTTTGCCGTGGACTGGTCAAACTCCATTGTTGGATTAGTAGTTAAGTATGCTCAGTTGGTCCGTACTGGAGAGAAAAAAGCTCAAGGTGCGTTGTGCAAATGGTGCAAAGTCAGGTAGCATTTCCTGATTAGTCAAAGCATGGGCACGGTCTGGGCTGCTTGGAGTAGTATAAATCTACTCGTAGAGTATGTTATTCAACACCCTTTTTTTAAGAAATATTTAATACCCTTTGTTTGTTTAGAGCGGCTCAACCTGCGATCGATGCGCCGGTGCGGCCCAGCAGCGCGACACGAGCGCGGGCCGGGCCCACCCGTCATCGCCCACCACCCCCGGTTGCCCAGCTAGTTCAAGCAAAGCATTGCAAAACCAGTGTGTCTCTCGATTGATATGATCTCCCGGTGTCAAGATGGCAAGTGCATGCATGCACGCCTGCGGGCTGCGGCAGTGTGTATGTGTGTCCTGCATCGATCGCGGCGAGTGTGTGTGGGGTGGGGTATGCGCTCGTCTCGTTCGTTCTCCCCTATCCTGTCCTGTCCCTACCCGGGAGCGCCGTGGCCGAGGACGGAGGGACGGCGGGCATGTGCCCCCCATGTGCTGCCGCTGCCGCCCATCTCCGGCTTGTCCCCTCAGATGCACTACTGTACGTCTGTACGTGTCTGCGGCCTCAATAATGTGTCAGTCGATCGCTCGGCGTCGTGGTCGTATCGCTGGCCGTATTGTGGCTGCAGGATACGTACGTACGTGCGTAGAGCTGTTGATGGTGACGGTACGTACGTTCGGCTCTCCCCACCAGCGTGGCCTCTCGTGGTTGCAGCGAGGAACTTGGCCGGCCGGCCGGCCGGCCGGACGGCAGCGTGCGTGCATGGTCGCAGGTAGAGGTAGGCGGAGTGGGTTAGTTCGCCACTGCGGACGTGGAGCCGGCGCCGGCCCGGCCGCGCTAGCTGGAATCGTTATCCGGAGACCGCCCGGGGGTCGATCACCGGAACCCATGCACGAACCATCAATGAGCAGAGCACTCCACTCCACCGGTGCTGTTCGGGATCGAGGAGTAGAAAAATGAGTTTTTTTTTAGACGTGAAAACAAAAATGAGGTGGTGGGTGTGGGGAATGTGCGCGCCCAGGAGACCGTGCCGGCCCCCGTCTCCGCCCGTGACCGGCGCGCGTGTTGGTGCTCCGTTCCCCATGCCATGCCATGCCGTGCCGTGCGCGCGTGGTGGTTTCCTTCGGGTTCACGGATGCCCCGCCCCCCAACCGGGTTTCTCCTCCTCCGTCGGGTTGCGGTCGCGGGGTCTGACCGAGCCTTGGAATGCGTGCGTGTTTGCGGGCAGGCCCGTGTGGTGCAGCTGCTGCCGTGGCTGCGGGGTGCAACCGCGTTCTTGGTAAGGCTGGTCATAATGGAAAGTATCATGCATCGTATTAGTATTATGCATATGATAATAATGTATAATATTATATTTATAATGTATAGTATCATAGATTAGTATGAGACCACCGATAGTGAGAGTAACATGGATAGTAATATTACATAATTTAGATAAAATAGATGACGTGGCAAACAATAAATGAAAAAATGACATGTGGTAACATAGCTAGTTACTAATAGTATGAGTAACATCACATATATCAAGGCAAGATGAGTCTATAGCCTAATAAATGAAGTATTGCTTGTTACCACACATATGTTACTCCCCATTGCCCATATTACTACTCCCTCCGTCTAGGTGTGTAAGTCACCTTACGAAAACCAAATAATCCCAAAACACTTAGGCACGATACATTAACTCCCTCCTCGTTTCTTATTTTGTGACATATCAACCAATAAAAGATGTGGGCCGTGCATGCTTTCAATGACTTGAGGCTACCAAACATGACATGCAGTGGTTAGTTCATTGCATGCAATGCTATTAATTAGCAAAAAGACATTAAGTTTTCTTGTTTTCCTCTCCGCCTCTATGCTACTACCCATTGTGGCTAGTCTCATAGGTAGTCTTATTTATTGCCATGCATCACACATACTTCTAGTAACATAACATTTATTATGTTACAGTATGCTATTATAATCATCTCTCTTTTTAATTGTCTGCCACGTAAGTATATTTGCGAGTCTCAAATGCGTTACTAGTATTTATGTTACCTTCACTATGACCTGCCTAAACATCCAGATATGGCTTGAGCTCAGGGGCGGAGACAGGAGGGTGCGAGCAGGGGTCAGACACCCCCTTCGCCCCCCCTACAGGATGTACAGCAACTACTATGCGTAACAAATTGGCAGCCTGCATATAATTAGCATTAATTAGGAATTAAGCCCAACAGATTTACACGGCCCAGTAAAAACCAAAGACATATTTGGGCATGTGGTCATGTACGTATTTTAGGCCACATTAAGTATTTTGCATCTACGAGGCCCTAGGCCATCTGCCGAGGGTTTCTAAAAAAAAGGCCATCTGCCGAGGGTCACAGAACAGAGATGATTCCTATTTCTACTTCAGGGCCGCCGCCGTCTCGCCTGCCGCCACTCACCAGGAAACTACCGCCTGAAATCTGAAGC